CCGTTTTTTTTTTTTTTTTTTTTTTTTTTTTTTGGGTTCTTTGTTTGCTTAACTAAATTTATTTGCACACTTCAAGCATGCTGCATAGACGACCCAGATTTCACATGTAGTCCTGAATATCATTTTTACAGTGATTCTCAAAAGGATCTTACGAATATTGTGCTTTTAACTAAAAGATTTTTTGCAGCACAGCTTTAACTGAAGTGCTAGGAACTGAAGGTCAAACTACAGTTCCCAGCGAACCTTATTCTTAAAATAGATTTCAGTATAGTAATTTGTTCCACCATGCCGCTCCTTTCCCATTTAAGCACTCTAAAAAGAGTATCCGATGTTTTCACTAGCAAAACATACATAGGGGGATGTCGATGCGCTGCTGATACGAGTCGTTGGCTTTCCATACGTCAGTCAAAATATTAGTGTTGTGTACCAAGTAAATCAAACATTCGTTGTTCGTTCCATACCATAGCAACGCCCAAACGCATTATGTTGTGAGATACGACTGACAAGACGGGCGATAAATATTCTGAGAAGTGTTCAGCCACTGTTTTCCCGCTAGTTCTCGAATTTGCGTGGTGCCAACTGTGAACTTCGGCGTAACTACGCGTAATGTAGGCGTGTGCGATAGCTGAATTTGAAATCTCTAGCTCACACATGTATGGAGAATATCGATATGAAATTCCTGTTTCCAGATTATCTGGTTCTTGAAATCGTTTTCCCGCCACAAAATTTGCGTGTTTTTTCGCTGCCCATACGTGAGATCCAGACGTACGTGGGCGGTGATTAAAGATAGTAAGGATGAAAACTGTGCTGCGAACATGCATGCAAAATTTCAGCCTTCCAGCTTTCCCAGCTGTTAAGTTGAAATTGGGCGACAAAGTTTACACACACATACAGCATACCTTTCAACAATATGCGTCTTTGCGCGCTGCAGCAGCGTTATAGCACTGCACAGTAAAAGGGCATAATCGGGCTTGAACGCACCAGGCTTGCCGGTGCGACCATGCGTTTTTGCATTCAACTCAGAGATCGCTAACAGTAAGAATGTTGCCTTTGCTGTAATCTAACAGTTGGGCTCATATTGGCCGTACTTTGGCCTCTTCCGGCATACAGGAGAAAGGGCGTCGGTTGGTATGAAGGTTTTGCATTATAGGGCCGCATGAACCTCCAAGTACATGATTACTAGTTTTTTGCATGAAGCCCAGTCGCTTCTTCGGTAAATGTTTGCTTTTTGGTAAAATGCAAACTTCCATTTCACTAAAAAGTGAAAATGTTGCTCGAGCGGTCGCTCGTCAAAAAACCCAAGTATGCAAATGAACTGAATGTTCATTTACCTGTTTGGGTGAGGGCGGTCGTTCGCTACAAAACGCTATCATTTCTGATTTTTCGGTAAAATTGAATATTTCTCATGCCCGCCTACAGGAATTCTACCTCCAAGCAGAATTAAGACTGTAGGATATTCCAGCGAATTTTCAGCCTTGCAGCCTATCCGGTGAGCGAATTTTCTACTTCGCTACAAATATTTTTGAAGTGCACTAAATCGTGATGTAAGTACAAATCGGCACTCATTTTAGGTATACGATTTCACATATGGGTGTTAAACATGCTGGCAAAATTTCAGCCACTGCCTTTCGACAAATTTCTGAGTTAGCATAGCGCCAAGTTGCAAACTTTGACATGATCGTACGTGCTGCACAAGCGTGCGCAACAGCTAAATTTGAAATCTTTAGCTCATACATGCACAAAAAATATCCTTGCAAAGTTCTAGCTTTGTATCTTGCCTGGTTCGCGAAATCGTTTCCCGCCAAAAAAATTTGCGCATTTTTTGGAAGAGTCAGTACGCGGGGTCTAGGCGTGCATGGGGGAAGATCTTAAAACGGGAGGGTGAAACCCAGGGTAGGAACATATACCCAAAATTGCAGCCTCTCAGCTTTCCTGGTTGCTGAGATGAAAGTGGGTGACAAAAATCATTCGCTTTTGAACACACACATACACACAGACAATCTCTCGACAGTTTGCATTTTTGCTGGCTGTAGCGGCGCTATAGTGCTGCAGAGCAAAACGCATAACAAAAAAAAAAAAAAATTTGAATGTTAGAACGCACGGCAGCTACTCATAAATAAGAAGAGTGAGCAAAACTGTAATCGTCCTAAGTTTTCATCACCGGGGCCTTCCATCCTTCTTTGCAGCTGTATGACTTTTTCAGCTCTCATACACAAAAAACTTTGAAAAAGAAATGGCGAAAACTTTTTTTATCTTCTAAGACTTGGTGCGTTGCCAACAATCAGTTAGTATCCACAGCTAGAAAGAAAATTTTACAAACATTTATATAAGTGCTGTTTAATCAAAAATAACCTAAGTCCAGCGAAAAATTTGTAGAAACGAAAGAGATCGACTTTTTCAGGCCAGAGTTTTCGAACAACAAGACGAATGAAGCCAGCAACAACGGCGACGTCAGTAACAGAACAAAGTCCTGGAGCAGAAATGGAAAGCAAACCAAGTGCGGCCGAAACAATGGAACGACATAAAACATTAGCTGAAGAAAACGTTTATGTTGGGCTAATGTTTGGTTCGAAAGCACTTGTACAGTTGGTGACAAATCCATGGATCGGCCCGCTAACGAATAAGTTCGTCCCGTTGACACGAATTTATTTAACTAAGGAGAAGAAATCTAAAGATGCTGCTAATTAAAGCGTTCCCTTTTTTCTTCCACCAAATTTTTTTTAACAAGAACTCTTCGCACAGCATTTATCTTAGTGTTATCAGTGCAAGAAGATGGAACACCTTTTTGCGCTTCATTAAACAGGTTAGTGCACTCAAAAAAATAATCAAAGTTTTAAAAAACGCAATATCTTATGTCAGAGATTCTATATTTTGCGGTTATTACTACTATTTTCAGTTTTTAGTAAGAAGAGAGAAGGGAAGAATTGAGAAACTAAAAATTTGTGACTGCTAGAATTGTGGTATTCATCTGAGTACTGTGCCAAGGTGCTGAAAAAAAAAAAAACAATTGTTTCGTTTTGTACGGAAAACTCTGTTGAGCAATCGTTTATATTGGTTGAAATCTGTTACCTTCTAGAATTGGGTATACGATACCGATGTTCGCTGGCTTCTGCATAATGTTCTTATCGACAGTTATGTTCGCATTTGGTACATCATTCCACACGCTTTGGCTTGCACGAGCTTTACAAGGCGCTGGGTCAGCTTGTACAAGCACTTCAGGTACACTAGCACTTCAACGAAACCAAAAAGAAAGTTGGTTCTGAACGTGTTCTTAACTGTAAGTTGCAGTGTTCTGATTGATGATACGGAAGCAAGAGGCGGCCCATTAGCAGATTCCGATAAGCTTAAGACTGAATGTTACTTTTGTGTCCAATTCACCTAACGTCATACTAGTCGTTGTTAACCTGACACAGGCGTGATAATAATAATCGGTCATACTGTTACGGTAGCAAGTTTAGAAGAGAGGATCTGAAATGATTGCGCTCGGTACATGTTGGCGCCTCTGTACCATTTCGCACTGCAAAATTATTAGATCTAGATGGCACTGGTGGCGCAGACGAAACTTTTTTGACTTAACTTGCTAGTCAACAACAGTAGTGATTTTTGAAAGGTCTAAATTTTTCACTAAAAATCTTTGAAGCATTTTATTTCACGCACAGGAAATTTGTTACAGAAAAAAAAGTGCTTCAGGAATGGGAATGCTAGCGCAAGCGTACCCGGACGATGAAGAGCGTGGCAGTGCCATGGGTATAGCTCTCGGTGGACTGGCTCTTGGTGTGCTTGTTGGGCCACCATATGGTGGAATGTTGTACCAGTGGTCCGGCAAGGAGTTACCTTTTTTGCTTCTTGCTCTGCTGGCACTGTTTGATGGATGTGAGTATTACTCTGCGGTGTTCCAAAAAAAGAATGCAGCAGTTTGCACCACAAAATGGGCAAGAATGCAAGTGTTACGTATAAAATAGGGCATCATATTTTTCGGAAAATCTATGTTGGTTTTTCTTCGTAAGCAACTGCTTTTTGTTCCTTCGTTTTGTGTGAAGAACCGGCTGGTCGATGCTAGGCTATTGGAAAAAATTGGCCGTAAAAGCCAAAAACTGAGCTGAAATTCTTCGAAGAAAATCTACCACAGAAGGTTTGCCGCACTTCGCTTGCTGTTGAGTGATATCTGTGAAAGAGAAAGCCGCGTACTGAACCAATTTGTAGGAAATGCAAACTTTACCGGTGAAAGCGGAAATAACTAATTAGAGATATACAGCGCGGGACAGAAAAAAGAGGCGTAGCTGTGTAAAGCGTTCGGGTGCATCCCAATAATACTGCAGCCTCACGGCAGCATCTCGGAAAGTTTTGATAAAACGCAACAAAATGTACGACTTTTTGGCAGATATCTGCAGTTCCACATTATTTTAAAAATGCATTGCTTGTGTTGAAACAGTTTATAAACTGCAGCATTGCAATTTATGGTGCTGCAGCCAAGAATTGATCGCGGTGAACCGGAAGGAACTGGATTAAAAGAGCTTGCAACCGATCCATACATTGTGATCGCTGCTGGTTAATCATTTATCACCTATTCAGCTTTAAATTTCAACGTTTCTGAAATCAAAGAAGTTTTTTGTGAAAGAAATTTCAAAATGTAACTGGTTAGAATCTTGAAAATTGCTTAGCCGTTTTTGTCATCGTGGAACCCGGGCAAAAAAAAAAACTTGTAGTTCGATTTTCTTTGCTGGGGCACCAAAGGTCTAAAAATTCAAGTAACTGTAGATCCACCAAGCATGCTTTGATTGATTTTTAAAGTGTCCCCCATTCAAAAGACTTCTGACTGTATCGGCGCCTAGATTTATATCAGAAAATTGTTGAAATCTTCTACACAGGATCAATAACAATTGGAAACCTTGGAATAGCAATGCTGGAACCATCACTGCCATTGTGGATGATGGAGTCCTGGCAGGCTGGATCATTTGAACGTGGTGCCGCCTTTCTTCCGGCTAGTATTTCATATCTTATTGGTACCAACATATTTGGGCCACTGGCGCATAAAATTGGACGGTTTGTCGTTTTTTTCTTTTTTTTGCTGAAGTCATTTGGAACGGATTTGGATTAGTTGTACAAATTTAAACAGTCTTTGAGTGTTGTTTTTTTTTTTTTTTTTT